TATTCAATTTTTTTTCCATAATCAATAAAAAAAAAAAGAATAACTTGCAAAAATTTAATTTAACAAAAAAAATATATGTTTAACATGTAAAATATAAAATATTAAATTCAAGTTATTGTGGCAACTCATTTATTAAGAGATATATTAACGAAAATATGTTTAACATTTAAAATATAAAATATTAAATTCATATACAAACACGAGTCATACAAATTCAATATTTAGTGAACAACACAAAGTAATAATATTTACTAAACAATCTAAATATAAATACCCGAAAAAAATGATACGAAATTATAAACGAGAGAAACGAAACAAAATTATAAACAATACTATGAACACGAATCATACAAATTGAACATTTAGTGAACCACACAAAGCAATAATTTTTACTAAATAATCCAATACTAAATAATGTTTAGTTTAAGAAAATATACTAAAAATATAAATAATCGAAAAGAATGATATAAAATTAAAAGCACTACTATAAACTCGAATCATTCAAATTCAATATTCAAGTCGTATCTTTTGGAAGTCGATTGAATTTCTAATAGTTATATTTGATTATTTGATAACATTTACAAATTTAGTTTATATGTGGGAGTATTATTTTAATTTTCATTCTATTAGTTATAAATTTTGTTATTATTTAGATAAAGTTGATTATAAATCTTAAAATTGGGAATTTTAAATCAAAAACAGAACATTGAATATTGGCGTAACAATTTAATGTGGAAATATATGCTATGCATGTAGGTTGATATAATATAAAATATTAGCAGACTCATTTTGTTTGTCATTTATTATAATGTTATATTTTACTTTACATTTATGTACGAACAAATATTTATAATTAATTTACGAGTAATACCGTGCCTTCAGGCACGGATAATTGATAGTATTAAATATTAGAGAATCTAAGTAATTAAATGATAAATTTGAAATTTAAGTGTAATTCTCCCTTAAAGTTAAGACAATAAGTTGTACAGCCTGGGAATGTGCCCCCTTTAAGTGTTTTGTCGCTTTCTAATCAAGAAATTCAAACTTGTATTCAAATTACATAAAAAAATAAGTAAAAAGATTAATTTGTTATTCGCCTCTACAACGAATTAACTTATTTTTACACTCAAAACTTTTTTTCAAAAAAATTTCAACTTATCCCAAAAATTCTTTTCTTTATATGTATGTGTGTTTATAAACTCGAGCCGGACCACAACTGAATTATATATTGGTATATCAATATCCTACTTAGAAAAATATGACATAATGGATGTGCGGCAAAATATTAATTCCTGTCCGATTAATTAAACTTGGATCAGAATCTAAACTTTTGTCTATATTTATATCAAGGTATATAAGAACCTTAATCAGATCCAACCTAACTCTAATCTCCTGACAAATGAGGATCATACTACTTGGACTATGCACTCGGTGAGTCATGAGTGTTAGCTTTAAATTTTCTAACTCTAAACTCATCACACATCACTATTTTATCTTCCAAATGAAACTAGCCAAATTGTAAGTGGTCTTGTTTTATGGAAATTATGCTTGACCCTTCGACTTTTATTGCTATTATAAAAGAGTATTAGCCTAGTCCCCTAAAATATTAATATTCACTTTGATCCACTACAATTTATACTATTTTTTTCTTATTCTAACATGGCCCCAATTTGTATATTTGGCTTTAACCCCCCCCCCCCCCTCCCCCCACCCTGATATTTTGTGTCGCATAGACCATGGCCACTCTTTTAGAATTAGGAGCTGGGTGAATAGAAAATCAATGCCCCTGTGAAACAAAGAACATGCTTTGGTCTACTTTAAGAAGAAGACTTGGCAAAGAAAGAGACCAAACTTTCTCTCTCCTTAAAACCCTTTGGTTCCCTTCGCCCCTCTTTGCCTTTGTACTCATGAAGTTCACTTCTTTGTCGTGTTTTCATTTATTGAACACTAGTCATAACCCGTAACCCGTGTATAAAGGCACGATAAAATATAAAATTTAAGGGCCCAAAAAATCGATCCTACTTTATTAAATTTTTTTAACATGTGTATACTATTGTATATGAATAATGTTTGAAATAAAAATTATATTAACTACAAATTAATCAAATATTAAATAATTAAACATATAATAAAAATGAGTGATGCGATATTTTTAAGAAGGAAACATATAAATGATTAAATATGTGATAAAAATGAATGATGCGACTTGACAGAGGGATAATGGGTGAAGTAGCGATTAACGATAGTTTTGAGGGGGGAAATATGATTGAAATAAAATTTAAAGTATGAGTTGTTTTATTATATAGATAATCATAACTCTTACCTGAAGGCACGATAAAATATAAAATTCAAGCGTCCAAAACATTGATTCTACTATATTAAGTTTTTTTAAAATATATTAGCTACAAATTAATCAAATATTAAATATATGATAGAAATAAANTTCAAAAAATTGATTCTACTATATTAAGTTTTTTTTAAATATATTAGCTACAAATTAATCAAATATTAAATATATGATAGAAATAAATGATGTGATATTTTTATGGAGAAAATATATAAATGATTAAACATGTGATAAAAATGAGTTATGTGATTTGACGTTTGATTCTAACAAAGGGATGATGAGTGAGGTAAGTGATTGATGATGATTTTAAGGAGAAAAATATGACTGTGATAAAATTCAAACACACTCTTGTTTTATTTTATAGATTGTTGTTTATAAAAATATCCTTTGTGGGAACTTTTTCTATTGAACTAAAGCTCTGATTCACCTCTCATTTACTTAATTAATTAGCCAAGGAATATAGTTTTCTCAGTGGAATTAATGTTGTCGTATGATACAATGAACACCACCACGGCTACTGCTAGCTTTATGAACAATAAGCTTCTTTTTTTGACAACCTTTTTGTCTTCTGTGATAGTTTAGCGCCGAACTGAGGGTTTGAAAAATACTTAACGAGCGGCTTGACTACATTTGTTATTCATTTTCTATAGCTGGTCTTGGGCTCGAAGTGCATAAGATTCAGTTAATCCATTACCATAGCTGACCCAGGAGAGAATTACTTAATACACACTTTAGTGTTTTGGGTGCAAGTTGTGTTTTTAATATTTCCACTCCAATATTGCCATTCTTTAACAGCCCCTTTTCTTTTTCATATATATGTTATGTTGCTAATGTCTTGTATTTTGTTCGAATATATCCCTAGATTGAAATTGAAAACTTTTTTTAAATTAGAATAGATGGTTCTCAAAATAAATTTTGTGAAACTCTGTTCTAGAAGTAGTGTGAAAAGGATACACAGATCTTTTTTAGGGCACTCACTCATTTTAGTGGGTCGCCCAACAATGCATGGTAGGATGCATATAGCATTGTGAGAGTTGAAGGGGACGATTTTTTCATTCTTAATTATATTCAAATCAAATCAAATGATAATGTAACATATGCAAACCATAAATTATCTAAATTACAAATTTCTAGGGTTTAATCTGGCCCTTGTTTTGTCACACTGTGTGTATTAGAAAACTAAATTGAAGACTAATTGAAAATTAGTGGTTGGTATCCAATTTAAGAAATGCTTCAAATAATTAATGGGTTTTTAAAGCAATTTGGTTAGCCTTATTGAATTTGGAGAACCAATAGGTACAATTTGCTTAATTGGGTCAACAGAAGTTGCTAAAACTGCTAAATCATGATGTAGCCGTGTGCAGTCCATCAAGGGGACATTTTGTCTATCTATCCGAGTACAAGGTCATATGATGATATACTCGTATTAAAATCATATTACGTACGAATTATGTTAGGTTAACCTACTTATTAGAACATAACCCTTAGGCAAGTGGGACCCCTCAAAGATTTATTTTTCTTGAACCACAATGATAACGTTCACTTCTTCCCTAATCCCTATGGTCTGACTTATGAGGTTTTTTTTTTTTCATAGTTAGGATGTTCGGGTTAGTTTACGTATATTTTGACTAATTTTCTCTCTGATCCGTTAAAAACAGGTCATCCACGTTGGAACTGGAAAATTCATGAAAGATAAATCATTTATAGTTTGACTTCAAAGAATAGTCAAAATTCAAATTCAAGATGTCTGAGTTTATAACTTTTTTCTGTTACTGCTTGAACTATCACTTGAGATCAGGACACCTCTGAATTTACAAATTGTCCTTGACTTATGAGGTTTATCAAGACAAGGTTGTCAAATTTGTTTTTAGAGGAAAATTATTCCAATGAAATGGTTTTTTTTTTTTAAATTTATAGGTACAACTCAAATTACACATATATAGTAAGCAACAATTCACTCATAATCAATTAAATCGAAATTTATGCAATTAATGAAACTCAAACTCAAAAGATTAAGTTTTCGTCATTGAACTCACTATAAAAAGGTAACATAGTTGGGATCAATTATATTGTACAGAAATAGGCAATAAACATAGACATTAATGTTAAGACTTTATCTTGGGATGTCTTCTACAACATGTTTGTTTCTTTGATTTAATCTCCCAGGGAACAAACAACACCAAATGAAAATTGGATGATATTCACGATGACCCTAGTTCTAAGGTATCTTTCAAAATGTCAAATGGAGCTGTTATTATTGATCTTGAAGAAAATACTGTATTATTTTCATAAAGAAAATTAAAACAAAAGTATTACACTCACCAAATTAATGTGTTGTATCACTCGATCTTACTAATTTTCTTTAGTAAAATTCACTAATCCAAACATACATATTCATTTGGTAAGAAATTTTAGATAAATATTTTAGTATGCACATCATTATTCCATAACAATCCTCAAATGTAAAATCTCAAAATGAGAGAGAGAGAGAGAGCCCTGTCTTGCTACATTAATGTTGCAACAAAAATTTGGATAGAAAGGGAAAATGCCCAGTCTAACAATTTCTGCCATACTCTCTCTATATACATTGTTCATGTGTTAGATCATCACTGCAACATCACAACCTAGCAATAAATAAGGTGAGTGCCCTAAGTCAGTCCCTCATCATTCTGAAAGCCAGTGCTTGAAGCTCACCCAAGTCAGTTTGTGAAGGTATCTTCTCAGCATAAGATTGGAATGATTGCTCATCTCTGCTTCGAATCTCTTGCATACCCTTTCCTCCATTGAAGCGCTCAAGTGAGCTCGGGGTTGAGATGGAGTTCAAGTAAGCCGGGCAATTCGGAAACAATGCCATTCCAGCCAGGTTTCCATGCCATTTATTTTCCGCAGTCTTTGAATCAATGAGGCTTTGCGCCAGTTGAGCCTTCATTTGCATCAGTTGGGCTTGCAAGCACGTCACCTATAGAAGAAAACAAAGACTTTCATCATTACTTCATTTGTATCTGGTATAGGCGACAACAATATCTTTAAAGAACTTACGAGATTAAAGGTTAATTGGTGGTGGAAACTGTTATTTGATAATGGGTTTGTGTTGTTAGTTCGTATATGGAAAAGAATTAGGGTTGCAACTCACGAGAAGCCTATCAGCCTATGACCATCCACACAAATGCGCAAATTATTGATCCATATGTGTACAATTATGTGCATATCATATATATATATATATATATATATATATANACCCTAGTTCTAAGGTATCTTTCAAAATGTCAAATGGAGCTGTTATTATTGATCTTGAAGAAAATACTGTATTATTTTCATAAAGAAAATTAAAACAAAAGTATTACACTCACCAAATTAATGTGTTGTATCACTCGATCTTACTAATTTTCTTTAGTAAAATTCACTAATCCAAACATACATATTCATTTGGTAAGAAATTTTAGATAAATATTTTAGTATGCACATCATTATTCCATAACAATCCTCAAATGTAAAATCTCAAAATGAGAGAGAGAGAGAGAGCCCTGTCTTGCTACATTAATGTTGCAACAAAAATTTGGATAGAAAGGGAAAATGCCCAGTCTAACAATTTCTGCCATACTCTCTCTATATACATTGTTCATGTGTTAGATCATCACTGCCACATCACAACCTAGCAATAAATAAGGTGAGTGCCCTAAGTCAGTCCCTCATCATTCTGAAAGCCAGTGCTTGAAGCTCACCCAAGTCAGTTTGTGAAGGTATCTTCTCAGCATAAGATTGGAATGATTGCTCATCTCTGCTTCGAATCTCTTGCATACCCTTTCCTCCATTGAAGCGCTCAAGTGAGCTCGGGGTTGAGATAGAGTTCAAGTAAGCCGGGCAATTCGGAAACAATGCCATTCCAGCCAGGTTTCCATGCCATTTATTTTCCGCAGTCTTTGAATCAATGAGGCTTTGTGCCAGTTGAGCCTTCATTTGCATCAGTTGGGCTTGCAAGCACGTCACCTATAGAAGAAAACAAAGACTTTCATCATTACTTCATTTGTATCTGGTATAGGCGACAACAATATCTTTAAAGAACTTACGAGATTAAAGGTTAATTGGTGGTGGAAACTGTTATTTGATAATGGGTTTGTGTTGTTAGTTCGTATATGGAAAAGAATAGGGTTGCAACATACAAGAAGCCAAGAGAGGGAGAGAGAGAGAAGAAGAAGAAGAATATGATAAAGTTGAATGGTGAAAATTTTGGTGAACCTGCTGTTGTAAGGCGAAGATATGTGCGACACAGCCATAAACTGGATCTCTGATCCTTGCTTGAGCTTCATAAGCAATGGTCACAACCGCCTCGCATCGATCCTCTACGGGGACATGCAGTAACAATTTGGAAACGTTACTGGCACCAAACACCTTATGAATGGCAGCAAATCTAGCCGGCCCTTGTTCCGAGCAGAAATAAGGTGCAAAATAACAATCCACGGCACACTTTCGCCTCAGAAATTTGCATGCACCACATGGAGAGCCATTCTCAGTTGCCAGATTGAAGATGAGAGAGAGAGAGACGTTTGTCCTTTGTGAATAAAATTTAGGCACACGAGCACACAAGAAAATGATGAAAAATAAATCACTTAGACATATTGTTTGAAATTTTTATTAGGACCTAAATGACATAATGTCGAATAAAGAAGTTCAAATTAGTTGTCGTATCATTTAGGTTCTTAAATTAAAATTTCAAATTAAAACTCTATAACATTAAACAATAAATAATAGTAATAGTAATGAACGGTGTATAATGATTAGGTTTTAGCGCCTTCTAGATGTCTATAACGAAGCACTATGGATTAGTATCCAAACAACACGAGAACACTTTGATTAAGAGGGTGATTTTGCAGAGTCATATGCCCCTAACTTGATTAGCAAATTAATTAATGTGATATATAATACAACAAAGGCACTTATTTATAATGTACAAATAAATAATTCTCGGCCGATATTTATAATGTACTTGTATCTAGGGGTGCAACTCGAGCGGATTGGACGGACTGAGAAATTATCCCTACTCTAACTCTAGGTATAAAATTTTTAATTCTAACCCTAATCCTAACCAAAGGTACTCAACCCGAAATTTTGCCCGAGTTTAATTCGGGCTGATTTTGAATTAAAAATCAAGTTGATCTTGAATTACTTAATTCGAGTTGATTTTTTGAAGTGTTGACTTGATTTTTCCAAGTGTAAATTTGATTTTTTTTCAAATGGTCTGAGATAAAGGATGAGACACAGATGAAAAGAGAGGGAGTGAGAAAGGGAGGAGTGACGAGGAGAGAGGGATATGAGAGTGATGGAGACACAGAGGTAAAGACTTGAAGTGAAGTAAAAGTCTGAACTTTAAAAAATGAAGATAAAGACTTACCCTAATTAAATATATTTATATACTAGTTATTGTCTGTGTCTGAAGGCACAAAGTAATAAAAAATGATAAACAATAAATACATTTATATTTATATCAAAAATTAAATCGCAAACATAGATAAGAAATAAAGGAATTTAAATATTGATTTGTAGTGGGAATGAGAAATATTAGGACGATAGTTGTGGTGGTAGGAGACAGTAATAGTTGTAGTGGCAAATGGTGGTGATGGTAGTGGCGACAACGATGGTGGGTGGTGGTGGTGGTGGTAATGGCCGCGGCGACTACAATGGTGATGGTGGTGGTGGTGGCGGCGACGATGGACGTAAAGGTGAAGGTGGTGGTGGTGGTGACTACGATGGTGGTGGAGGTGGAGGTGGAGGTGATGGTGGCGATAGCGATGGTGGGGGTTGACGGTGGCGGTGGAGGTGGAGGTGGAGGTGGCGATGGCGACAGAGACGGTGGTAGGGGTGGTAGTGGTGGTGGTGGTAGTAGAGGTAGTGTGAAACGGTCCAAAACAATATATATTTTTTTAAAATACTTATAAGAAATAATTCCTACAAACACTTTTAAAAAATTACTCCAAACACATCTTTAGAGCCCTATTTTTTCTTATTAAATTTGAAATTTTAATATTAGTTGTTTGATTAACTTTAAAGTAAAATTTTAAACGATCTCAACCACGAATAACAAAAGTCATTTTATTTATCTTTTGAGATTTAAATTGTAAGCTACTTTATTATATATATTTTTGTATATTCTAATTTAACCCGATTTAATAATTGGGTTCAACCCGATCTTAATTTTTGAGTTGAACTCGACAACCCGAGACCTCAACCCGAGGCTTGCCCAAATTTAATTCAAGTTAAGATATTTTGGCTCAGGCCCAACCCAAATGTTAAAAATTATAGCCTGATTATACCCAAAGAATAACGCGGTAATTGTAGCACAGCTTTGGGGTGTCGATTCCACAGAGAGACAAATTAAAAGAATAATAGAATGAACAAAGAAATTTAAGAAAAATATTAAATAATTACTAGATAATAAAGATTAATTTTAAATGCAAATTAAAATGAAACAAAGTGACTAACAGAAAAAATATTCAAATTTGACAAACAGTAAAGAGTCGAGAATCTCTTGCACAAATCTAGTATTTTAATACCAGATTTGTCCAAATTCAATTCAAGTTAAGATGTTTTGGCTCAGGCCCAACCAAATATTAAAAATTATAACCTGATTACGCCCAAAGAATAACGCGATAATTGTAGAACAACTTTGTGGTATCGATTCCATAGAGAGACAAATTAAAAGAATAATAGAATGAACAAAAAAATTTAAGAAAACTATTAAATGATTATTGGATAATAAAGATTAATTTTAAATGCAAATTAAAATGAAGCAAAATGGCTAACAAAAAAAATACTCAAATTTGATAAACAGAAATACGTCGAGAATCCCTTACACAAATCTGGTATTTTAATTATTCTTAATTCATTGAATAACTTAATTGAGAATTTAATTCTCAAAATTTTCAACCAAAAAATATAGATTTATAAACCGAGATTAAACCCAATGTAATCCTTTAAAAAATCATTCACTACTTTTAAAATACAAAAATTATTATCACTATTGAGAAAATTCAACAACGACAATATACTCAAAAAAAATAATATTGCAGTAAAGAGTTAAATCAATAAAGATAAATAATTGGTCCAAACATAATCAAAAAATTAATTCATTCAATAGAAAAAACATGACTGAATCTATAAACAAATAAATTCTATGATAATTCAGAAAAGAAAATATAATAATAAATTAAGAATGAAAAATATAAAAAAAAATTAGTAATTAAAAATTAATTATATAAATTAAAAATAAATAAAATATCATCTACTGTATAATTAAGAATTTAGTTACCCATGATTGACAACAAAAATCTCCAAAGAAATAGAGTAAACCGGCTGCCATCGGAGTTTTTTCTGATTTGCGTCCGCCACCAAAGAACAGCCGCCGCTTCTGTTTTCTTTCTTTCCAGCCGCCACACCAAGGAGAAGAAGAATCAATGCAGCCGCCTCCAGAATAAAAGTAAGGATTAATCTCATTTTATACCTCAAAAGATTGTTCAAATTTTAATTTATACCCTCAAAAATAAAAATTTTAATTTACACTCTCAAAGATAAAAATTTGTATCAATATACACCCTCAAAGATCAAAAATCTCAATTTACACCCTCAAACATAAAAATTTATATCAATGTGCACCCCCAAAAATCAAAAATCTTAATTTGCACCCTCAAAAATAAAAATTTATATCAATGTACACCCCAAAGATAAAAAATCTCAATTTGCACTCTCAAATATAAAAATTTATATCATTATGCACCTAAAACTAAATTAATAAATTATACCTAGATCCCCTCATGTTTGTCACTTAATCATTTGGATATCTTTACATTTAAAATATTACTCCTACATTTAATGACATTTATACACGTACTACATGTAACTCATTTTCATTGATATTTGTTAATATAACCGTTAAAAAATATAATTTTATCTTAATAAAAAATTATAATTTCATATTACCCTTATTTTATGGGTCCAATATAATTTAAAGTTCAAAATCAAGCTTACCATTTGAATGTCTAATAAAATGTAGATATTTATATAATATTTTTTATATTTTTCTTTATATAAATATCTACATTCTATTAGACATTTAAATGATAAGATTGATTTTAAATTTTAGAGTATATCGAATCCACAAAATAAAGGATAATATAAAATTATAATTTTTTATTAAGATAAAATCATATTTTTTAACGATTATATTAATAGATATCAACGAAAAGTAATTATATTTACACATGTACGAACGTCATGAGATGTAGGGATAATATTCTAAATGTGAAAGGGTTCAAATGATTAAGTGACAAACATGAGAAGATCTCAGTATAATTTATCAATTTAGTTTTAGGTGCACATTGATACAGATTTCTATTTTTGAGAATGCAAATTGAGATTTTTGATTTTTGAGAGTGTACATTGATATAAATTTCTATCTTTGAGGGTACAAATTGAGATTTTTAATCTTTAAATGTATAAATTGAGATTCAAACAATTTTTCGAGGTACAAAATGAGATTAACCTAAAAATAAATACCGAAAAGTCAAACCCTCCTTTCTTTTCCTCCCAGCCGTCAAAGCCTAAAAAAAAATACAACAAGTTTCATAAATCTCTCCTTCTCTTAAGAAAAGCTATTTTCATTTTCTTTTATTCCAATATCCTTACTTCAATCTCTAAAACCCAAATTTTGTGTAATTTGATAAAAATGAAACCAATAAAAATTATCAATATTGGACCCACTTGACAATTGCATCAATTTCAACTTTTTTATTCCATAGACTACCATAAAAATAAAAAAGACAAATATAAAAACCCAATTATAAATTATTTCTCATCAACCAATAATACATTATGTAAGATTTAAAATATTATAATATCTTGCTCAAATATATCTTAATGTGAATAAATATTAAATTCAATAATATAAATTATATTTAATTATTTCTATTCACATTTTTAGTATTTTAATCCAACAATAAAGTATTTAGAATGCATTCTCGTGCACTTATCATAACCCAAATCTTATTTTTTCTAAGGTAAGCTCAGGTTGAATTTTGGTTGACCCACCCAAGTTACATCCCTCCAAAGAGTGTGTGTGTGAGAGAGAGAGAGAGAGAGAGAGAGAGAGAGAGAGAGAGAGAGAGACCAGTGGCATCCATAAAATTCAACTCTGCCTACCTCATAAAAACGAAAATGGGCAGTTGAAATAGCAAGAGAGGCACCTCGTCAGCAAAACAAAGGAAAATGGCATTTAGTGACAGGCTATTACCCATGTTATCGTTCTCGCCTCAGTGACGCCATGACATAATATCTTAATTTTGAATCACCATTGTACCCAAGAAGACAATCTCTCTTATCTACCGACATAGTCGATATATGCTCAAGATATGGAAGAAATGCAATCAGATTACAAGGTCTCTTAAAATTCAAGATTCAAACCCATACCTTCACCTCATGTTGGCGCAAGCCTGCCTGCCTCCCTGCCTGCATTAGCCTCCAGAACAATACAATACAAGTATTTAATGGTCAGAATGAACTGCAGATCATACCGATCAGTTTATGTTTTGATTATGATCTCACAATAGAAGGACCCAACAAATAGTCCAGCAAGTTAACTGGGTTTTGGAGTCCGAGGCCAGGGAGTGGGGTTAGTTCATGCTAGTCCAGCTGCTGTATTTGAAATACCGGACATGAACACACAACCACCCAAAAAAATATACTACCTGTTTCACCCAATTATTTGATTGCCTTCAATGATCAATGCTGTTGCAGAAGAAAGGCAGAGATATAAAATTTGAAGAGAAGGTTTGATCTCAACCATCAGTGAAGACCAATTGTGAGCCCTCACCCGTTTCAAGATGTTACATATTATCCACATCCAGGTCTGAGTTCACTCAAGTACAGCTCCTTTGGGAAGCTCGTGACCATTTTTAAATTTCACAAAGATGCTTACTATACACAACAATACCTACTCCTTGTAAATAAACCATGAACAACAAGCCATTCAATAAGCAATATGGGCAACCATTCTACATAGTGGTTGATCTAAAAAAAAACTAAATTAATGATCGACCAAAACTAGGTGAAATTGATCTTGTTTCCCTTGCTTACAAAACCAAATTCATAACCATAACTAAGTAGTTACATCTCATGCAAAACACAAAATGAGATATCACAGAGACCATTTCTTATAATATATACAAGGTGAAGGATAAGTTTTAATCTTTGGTTGCATACTTGCCATGAAGTAGTCAATTGGTTGACCAAGGAGATTGAACACCCAGACCAAAAACACCAATAAAACCCAGTTTCATAACCTCAAATTATAGAGATTATTTACCTGTGGCACTTCACCTCTTGTGGTGAAACCTTACCTTCAATAAGAACTGCATCTTGACCTGTCCAAGATATCAATCGGGAAATCCAGTTACATGGCACATTAAGATGTTAGAATCAAGCTTGGAGGAAGAAGAACAGTGTCAGAATTGAAGTGATTGGAAAAAGAAAAAAAAAAGGACACCCAGAACAGGATTAGAATTATCTTGTGTGACTGGCTTCTCCAACTTCCAACCAAATTAAATTGGTACAACAGCAGTCACTTTAAGCATTTTGAGTACATTTAAGTTTATTCTAGTTCCAGGCCAACAGCAAGTTATTTTTTCCAACACAGTAAATAAATACGAAGCCTCTCTAGAACTTTTGAATATGGAAATGTATTGAGCTTATCATCAAAACTCATCTTAGTTTGAACCAACAAAAAGGGGTAATGACCCAGGTTCGGTGCTGTTGATCAACAGTCTTGGGATAGAGAGACGGGGATCACAATTATCTTGTGTGACTGGGATCTCCAACTTCCAATCAAATTAAATTGCTGTGGATAAGGCAGATGCACCATGCTATACAACAGCAGCCACTTTGGACATTTTTATCACATTTGAGTTCATTTTAGTTCCAGGGCTGCAGGAAGATAACTTTTTCCAAAACACTAAACCAAAGTTTCTTTAGCACTTCTGAATCATGCAAATGTATTGAGGTTTTCATCAAAAACCCATTTAGTTTGAACAAACAAAAAAGGGGTCATTACCCAGTTTGGGTGATGTTGATCGAGGGTATTAAGATGGATAAATGGGGTACAAATCTAAGTTAGTATTTTCACAAAGTGGATGCCCCCAGGTTCAAACTCACAACCTAATGGTTATTAATTTTATCATTGCACTGTGCAATGACCACTTAGTTTGAACCAATACTATACACCAAACCTGAAATTGCAACATTGACCAGGTCAATATGGTAACGCCAATCAATGCGCCAAGAGAAATAAGTAGCTCCTTTCTAGAGACAAAAATATCATGGAGTTACATTCTTTGTAGTCGTAGACAACTATCCAGCCAGGTTATCAGTCACAAATATCACAAATACTGTCCACTACTTAGCAAGATGATACACAATAATGTCAAAATGCAGATAAAAACTTACTTGAGTTGTATTATAGACGATATACGCATTATACATCAGTTCTGTCGCCTTGACACTAGATGACACTGGTTTTCCACAAGGTACAACGATGTCATCTCTCCACTTCACATAGTCTGATTCTTGAGGTACTTTCTTGCCAAGGCCTTTCGTAGAGTGCTTGCCTTCAGGAGGTTTGTCCATATACTAGCAGTTAAACAAGATAAGCAAAGAAATTTCAAATGAGGTATGAAATGGAAGCACACGCGCAAGCACGTGCACACCTAAAACCCAATTGTGTCACCTATCTGTGCATGAATACCTAATGTGTGACAAATTGCTGAATGCATTTTGAACGTTAATGAATTATAAGCAGCAAAAGGTGCACAGTATGGCAAATGTGGACACACCTTAGCCTTCTTGAGTTCTTAAACTTCTTCCAAGGCAACTTCACTTAAAAGCATTAAGCCCACGGGATTTTTCTTGTCAGCGTAATAATACTGAGCACTTTTACTGACCAGGTCAGCAAAGTATAGTCCTNCGCGGGATTTTTCTTGTCAGCGTAATAATACTGAGCACTTTTACTGACCAGGTCAGCAAAGTATACTCCTTTGCCAAACTATAAATAACAAATGCTTACTGTTGGTTAGTCTTGGGGAAAAGAAAAGTAAATGTATTAGGACATTCTTTTTCCTTTATCCAAGTTGTTAATACATCAAAGTGCTGTCTAAGTTTTTGTGATGAGAAAGAGAATGAGGAAGGGAGGGAGAACCATATATCCAGTAGCTNAAGTTGTTAATACATCAAAGTGCTGTCTAAGGTTTTGTGATGAGAAAGAGAATGAGGAAGGGAGGGAGAACCATATATCCAGTAGCTGGGGCTTCAGGAGGAGCGATTCTCAGTCCTTGACTAAGTATGCCCACAAAGTTTGTCAACCGGGAATCTGTAGAGAACAAAAATTTTCATTCCAGCTATAGTCTTACTTCTGGCCCTAGTTTATTTTTACATACTTAATGAACCAGAGAAACCTCTCATGTTGAAATGGTATATAATGCATCCATTCCACACTTAACAGCATTCCATTCCGTATGTTATTAGGCATTTCAACTTACCAAGCCAAAGAAGCTTTCTATTTTTAAGTCTCTCTCTGTGGGGAGCAAACTTGTCAATTTCCCCCACCCTTTCAAGTGAAAAGATTTCTTCCAATTCAAGAGCCCAATCATGAGAATATTGCAGCATTCAGTAAATAAATTTTTTCAAAAAACTAAATATAATCAAGGAACAAGAAACTAAGAATCATTTTTATGCTAGCACAATATGCTTTTAGTGCACTGAGTATCAAAAAAGTAGACCCACTGTATGTGTAGGGGCATGTGTGGCTTGAAGATATTTGTCAATCAGCTTATAATCTTCACTATCATGGGGAAGTGGAGCAATATCACACTTCAACTTCATGTACTGTTCATCAAGGGAATCATCACTTTCAACATCAAAACCTACTAATCTGGAAGCTATTTCAATGTCCGGAAGAGCTTCTAACATTTTCACCTGCCATAGAAAAGTGAATTGATTACTTTATTCTACTTTGCACCAACTGAAAAAACCCAAAAATAAGCAATGAGAAAAATATGACTTTACTAAAACTGATACAAACAATTGTAATGTTTCACTACTTATCCTGTTGNTACCATGCCAAAGAAGCTTTCTATTTTTAAGTCTCTCTCTGTGGGGAGCAAACTTGTCAATTTCCCCCACCCTTTCAAGTGAAAAGATTTCTTCCAATTCAAGAGCCCAATCATGAGAATATTGCAGCATTCAGTAAATAAATTTTTTCAAAAAACTAAATATAATCAAGGAACAAGAAACTAAGAATCATTTTTATGCTAGCACAATATGCTTTTAGTGCACTGAGTATCAAAAAAGTAGACCCACTGTATGTGTAGGGGCATGTGTGGCTTGAAGATATTTGTCAATCAGCTTATAATCTTCACTATCATGGGGAAGTGGAGCAATATCACACTTCAACTTCATGTACTGTTCATCAAGGGAATCATCACTTTCAACATCAAAACCTACTAATCTGGAAGCTATTTCAATGTCCGGAAGAGCTTCTAACATTTTCACCTGCCATAGAAAAGTGAATTGATTACTTTATTCTACTTTGCACCAACTGAAAAAACCCAAAAATAAGCGATGAGAAAAATATGACTTTACTAAAACTGATACAAACAATTGTAATGTTTCACTACTTATCCTGTTGCATTACAAGTAATCGACTAGCAATTGCATTTCCTACTTAAAACAAGACAGACAAAAGAAACCCACATTCATCACTAGCACAGGCCACCGGGTAGAAAACCCACAAAACTGTTGCAGCTAGAACTCAAAAATGGTTTGGTTTACTCAGCTGTGACCACAATCCCAACAGGTCCACCTGTTAGTTAGCTAGAAACCCTTGCACAGATATACAATATAACAGAACCCAAATCAAAGCCAAAACCTTACTAACCAAATGATAAATCATATCAGATATGAGTGTGTTTTTATGTGTAGAACTTCCAACCTCTTCAGCAGAATTACTATGCTATTAGCAAGTAAATGTCTTGATAACTTGGCTTACGAATTTTTTAAAAAGACTATGACTTTAGATTTGTGCAATACAGTGTCTGTGAAGCATGTAGTATCATAAGTAGGATTGCCATCATCATCAACAAGACTCCTTATTACACAATAACCTTGTCAACATTCACAGCATGAAACCAACGACGGCCATAGAATCATTTGCTTTGTTGGAGTAGTGATACCAGCCTATAATGAAGAACTTCAGGTCACAAATCTTTTACAGACCAAAAAAAATGAAGAAAGGATTTTTGTTCTCCCCCAACCCCCCACCCCAAAAAAAAAAAGACAAAAACAAGAAACCCAGGGGGGAGTGGGAGGGTTTCTCACCCTGATGGACAGAGGCTGAATTAAAGAATTACACCCCAACATAAATGCAGGAGACATCGCTGTAATACAAAATAAAATTTGTAAAGGAAATTTAAGGGAAAAACAAATATCATACAGGAGAGGGAAAGCATGTTCTTGGATGGTAATGTACTTTGTCAATTCATTATGAATAAAACACAAAGGATATAACTGTAATACCCAAGGTAAAAATAAGAAACAAAAATGAAATAACAATAATAATAATAAAAATAAAAGTGAATAAGTTAGGTTTGAGAAGTTTTAGACTTTTGTCTTGCTTGGGGTCTATCCTTACTGGCTTATGGATATGCTTTGAAAATCAATAAAGATAATTTAGTATAATTATAGAGACCTATTAGGATTATTATACTTGTGGTTTAAATAGGGTAGTATTGTTGGATAGGTCAAACCCTTTATATATATATAAATATATTTAGGTTTGTAGGGTTTTTATTGGTGAGAATGCTTGTGGAGGAGCCTGTCCTGTGAACAAAGAAGAAAAAACATAACATGAAAGAGAGAAATAGAGAAGGAGGAAGAAGATAAGTGCATTAGGTCCCTTGAAGGTGATTTTATTATTTATTTTATGGGTTTTATAGTTTATTCAATCACATGATATTAGGTTGATGATAATGATAATGCGTAATATGTATATATATACATATACAGAATGAGTTTCATGGTAATCGTTTATTATTATTGAAATTATTAGATTGAATTCAAATTTGTAGTTCGTTAATCAATAGGTTGGAAAAAAAAAAAAAAAAAAGGGATTGGAACTGTTGTGGCAGAACAAACAACCTGGGATGTCCGTAGGTAGAAGAAGACCCAATCCAGAAATTACAGAAACATCCCTTTAGCTTCAAAGAGTTTTACTTTAACCCCCTATATTCTTCTAAACTTAATTTTAACCACTGTTTTACTTGGTAATTTAGAAAAATAGAATTTTGAAAAATTTATGGCAGTCCCTAAAACAGAAAATTCGTTTTTTAAAGAAATTACACTTTGACCCCAAAAGTTTCAAAAATTATGATTTGACCCCAAAATTTTAGAAACTTTTTTCTAAATAATCCAAAATACTTCTATATCCTATTAACTCGTATTAGAAAGAATATTTTAAGTATATATCAATGGGTAGAAAATATGTAAATTAAATATAGAATTGCAGAATGACAAAACTAAAAATAGAGATTGATCGTTATATGTTATTTTGGATTAGGTAGTGATTGCATTGAGGTTGGGAAAGAAAGCTTTGAATTAAATTTTGGGAATCAAGGTGAGAAGTTACTACTTACTACTTCTTTTGGGAGGATTATATTAAATGTGTGGGTGTGTGTGTGTGGAATCTTAATATATACGATATATGTGTTGATGTTTGGGATTACAATTAAATGTTTAAAAATGTGAATTGTTATACATGTGAATCTTTAAAAACTTGTGGGATGATTTTATATCATTTCTTTGGTGATGAAAGGGAAATTTTGTGTGCGTTGGAACTAAAACTACAATTTTGGTGTGTGTGAAAATCATGTTTATGAAACGGGGACCGGGTTACCAAGTCTGAGCGGTAACGAAATTATATACCAGCATGGTCGGTATATAGGGATGTGCACATAGGGACCAGTTATCAGGCTAGTGATGACAAGAGACAGAGCTAGTCAGGCTAATGATGACAAGAGACGGGGCCAGTTACCAGGCTAGTGGTAACAAGAGACAGGGTCAGCCATCAGGCTAGTGATGACAAGAGACGAGACCAATTACCAGGCTAGTGGTAACAAGAGACGGGGTCAATCATGATTTGACAAATATATTTGAAACTGAGTGTGTGTGAATATTTTGGGTTATAAATGTCTTTTTATTTATAAAGTTATTTGTAATCATGGAATCATTTTGTTTACATGATTATGTGTGAGGGATTGAGGTACAATTTGTTGTACTTATGTATGTATCAAAGTTTATTTTTGCATATAAACTGTGAGATTTATTTCCACGCCTCATTAGAAGTGGTTGTTATTCACGGGTCTTTGTACTCATCCAAACATTTAACATTTTTTAGGTGAGGATCAGGGTGAGGAGTAAGTCTACAGATAGACAAGGGATTAGAGAACTTGAAGATTTATTTTAATATATGTCTTTGGGAATAAAAGTCTTTTAAAGTTTTGAGATAAATGTTTAATTGTTTTAGGAACAATATTGCTGATGTTTAGGATAGTGAACCTTAAGGTTTAATTATTGTTTTACATGGATTTAGTAATGATGTTGGTGATATTTAGTTTATTCCTTTGGTATTCATTAGGTCAGTAGAATGGATCACTTTATTATTTATCTTCCACAGTATTTTGCATTTAGTATGCACAAGGTTGGTTGGTTAAGGCCTTGGTGGCCGGTCCGCCACCCACCCTATGTGATCCGGGGTGGGGTGTGACAATAACTGAACCTGAAACTATGCATCTTATACCTTTGACTTAAAATCATCCTCATCCTTAATCACATGAGGATGAATGGAAGGAATCACGGTGAAAAATCGATTGATGGCATCAACGATCAGGCTTTCTTTGACAGAAGCATCATAAGCAGCACTAGTCAATAGATTCTGTATCTGAGTTAGTGCCTCAAAGCCTGGACAATATTAAGAAATTATTTTAGATTTTGTTAATTAAGTAGCCAAAACCTATTTGAAATTCTCCTCTAAAATATGTTCCAAGTCCAAAAAACACATCCTGTCAACATGTCAGGTGAAGCATAGAAGAATATAGGTAGATCAGAAACAAATACCTTTCTGGATATTGCTTTTGCTAAGTTTTCCGAGTGGCATTTCAAACATATTTATCTCAAATTCCATCATTGCAGCCTGCAAAATTTCATTTCTCCCGGACATATTCTTGAAAGAATAATCATCAAGTAAGACAAACATTGATATATTTGACAAACCTGTATGTTTCCACATTAAAGAGCATCTTCATCAATTCAACTAACGGGGGGAGCAAGTTTGCTGTTTGTATCATTCAGATTTTTCTTCTTAGGTGCCTCCTTATTAACCCCAAATCCTATCAAATCCAACACTGTAACATCAAGAAAATAATAATAATTCGAATGCACAAGGGATGAACATTCACATTTCAGCAAAGCAATTTGAAAAAAAAAAAGCGAGGCAGAGATCAGGAAAGGAAAGTTAGCGATACAATGTCCAACGGGAAGAATCTGCCAGGTTGCTTCTGAAAATTTTTCTTCTGCAACCATGCCTCCAACTAGTTCCCAGTTTTTTCAAGAAATAGACGTTTGAATTATTGTATCGCATCTGATTTAGACATCCCCTCTAGTTTGTTTCCTCCAATTTTTTCATTCCCAACACGACCCCATTTACAGAATACATAACAATCTGACCCTTTGTCATCTTGAATGATTTGAAGGACATAATAACTGCATACATGAAAACATACAAAAGTTATGACATAGTAAGACAAAAGGTTAAAATGAAAAGAACTTTCAAATCAGAACTTTGATCTTCTAGTATTTCCATCATTCTTTTCATAAGGAAATTAAATGCATCATATTACAGTTAGAAAAGAATAGGGGAAGTTAGCACTGTCCAGAAATTTTTAAAAAAAAAAAACACTCTATCAGCTTATGGCAAACAGAACATCATACCGTTATGCTGACAAGAGGTAACTCCAAATTATAGCTTCGTGAAGAAAAATAACCAGGTAAATGTAAAATTTTGGAGAAACAAAAGAATAGTCCACGTGAAAGCACGAGTACCACCTTAGAGGACACTGCATATCTTGAGTGTAAAAGACGTTTAAAGCACATTCTTTGTGGATGTATGAATTTTTTTTGGTCATCATGATTGTATAACTGTACTCATATTAGTCTTGCATAAAATAAAAGATTAATCCATAAAAAACGAAATACTAGCCAGTACAGTTTTAACCAACATTATTGACGAGAGACACCGATTGCACTAAGGAGAATGTCGGCACAAGGCGTGTGTTCCTGGCAACACAATACATTAACAGCAACTTTCAAAATTTATGCAGTCAGAATGATTGGCTCCATTGAAAACCATATGACAGCCCACTAAATTAGCTGATTGCTAGAATAAGTTGACTACCAATAACCTTTGGAAATAAATCATCACTGACAGATAGCATAGGCCCTTAAATTCGAGTTATCTCCCAAGTATAAAGCAATATATACTGACGGGATATCAACTGTAAGTGCAACTGTTGGAAAATGGGAAATTATGCGGAGGTCAATGTGATAAAGCATTTATCCCAAAATGCTTCAAAAGAAATACTAGAAATATAAGATCCACCTGTTAACACCGGTTGAAAGGTCAGACATGTTCAAAGTTGTATTATAAATGATTTTCCCATCCTCAAGGATGTGTCCAGAATCTTGCAAGCCAGATGCTTCATGCACAGCACTTCGCCCTTTAACTTTGACAGTGACCATGCTACGTGCCTCTCCAATTGCTTCAATTTTGTACAATTCAAAAGGAAGTTTCTTCTGCCTTTTTATGCAGTCAACCAAATAATCCTCCCTAACAATAGGTCGTTTCATCCTCCTATCGACATGAAACCATCTCACATCAAGAAATGACTAATAAAAAATGTACCTTAATATAAAAAATCCTAAGATAAAATTAAATGTGTTGGAAGCAGCCCATCCTTAAACCATTAAGATAAAATTACATTATTGTATCAACAACACAAGCATGGTGTGATTACAACTGAGAGTTGAATGGATTGTATTGACCTAGCTGTAAATTCCTAAAATTGTCTCATCAGAAATTCCAACGAGATAGGGATGATTGGAAGACCCTGAGCTGAACAACAAATTGGTCAACTATAAAATAGATGCACCAACCAAACCAATTGGGAATGCATTAATTTTTGGCTGCCCCAACCTCAAGAGTAAATTATCAGAAGCAGCAAGTCATATAAGAAGCCTTTCTTTCTTCATAATCCAGGACTGCATTGACACTTTAAAAAAATTTACTTCCTCTAGTTATGCCGGTTCAACTATCATTGTCACCAATAGAACACAGAAGAACAAATATCGTTTTCATGTCATAATATACCTAATTATAATCTTCCTCCTAGTTAATAAAGGAATGGCGTTATCCACAGAAGGACAACTGCAGCAAACTCTCTAGCTTTTGTGACCATAATGAGCATTCATTCTCCAGTACTCATATAATTTCCAGTTTCTTTCCATGGCCACAAAGTACTTCTGCCTTAAACTCATTATCTATATCATGATGAACAAATCCGATATCTGGCACATAACCTAGTTCTCTCATTTGCTCATGCATAGAAATCCACACCCCCTCGATTTGTGTGTTATCGTAAGTCTGTTTATCCTCTGACCTGAATATATAAAAGTTCTTCTCAACCTCAGTCGAGGCAAAACCAGCACTCTTATGAACTCCTTTCTCACCAAATTCCTTTCTTATCTTCTTCACCAAATCCCACATCCCAAGATCAGCATAAATATTAGAAAGCAAAACATACACAGAAGAACTATCAGTCTCTAAGGGAAGGAACCTCTTGGTCACTTCTTCTGCTAACTCAATTTGCTTATGAATTCTACATGCACTCAACAGAGCTCCCCATGCACTAGCTCCAGGATCCATGGGCATGTTACTTGTGATGGACAAAGCTTCGTCCATCTTTCCTGCCCTACCTAACAAATCTATAATGCAAGCAAAATGTTCCTCTGTTGGTGCAATTCCATAATCCCTACTCATTGATTTAAAATAGTTCCATCCTTCTTCAACCCTTCCAGAATGACTGCAAGCCGACAGAACAGAAACAAATGTGACGGCATTGGGTACTTGATCTTCCAATCTCATTTGGTTAAAAACAGCAATTGCTTCAGAGTACAGGCCAGGCATTTCAAATCCATTGATCATTGCACTCCAAGAAAACACATTTTTCTTGGGCATCTGATTGAAAAATTTGTTAGCTGCTGCAATACAACCACATTTGGCATACATGTCAATGAAAGAAGTACAATTCACCAAATCCAACTCAACCCCATTTCTTAACATGTACCAATGAACACTCTTTCCATGTTGCAAAGAACCCATGTGTGTGCAACCAAGAAGAATGCCCGATAATATGACTGAATTTGGAGTTGCAGAATCTTCAAACATCTGTTTGAACAAGCCAACAGCTTCCCAAGCACTACCATTTTTTGCACACCCAGCAACAATCACAGTCCACAAAACTACATCCTTCTCAGGTATTTCGATAAACAATTTTACGGCTAAATCAGCTAAACCGCACTTCATATACATATCCACAAGTGATGCCTTCAAACACATGCTATAATCAATGAAATTTTGCTTTACACAAAACCCATGACATGCTCTCCCTTCTTTACCAGCAGAAACAGTCCCACACGAAACAAACTCTCGGACGTAAATGGATCCAATTCAAAACCGGAACTTCTCATTTCGGAAAACAACTCAAAAAACTTTAAATTCGTTTGAAAATTTCAAGTGCCCTTTCATCATGGCACCCCAAACAACTACATTCCTGTCAGGAACGGACTCAAACACTTTCTCTGCATCATCCAAACATCCCAACTCAGTATACATATTTATAAGCACAGGCAGAATATACGGGTCTCTCTCAAACCCATGTTTAAAGACCAAGCAGTGAACTGATTTTCCATCTAGCAAAAGCGATAAACCAACGCAAGCTTTAATCGCAAACACTAAATTGAAGCTATCGACCCCATGGAACTCGTTTCGCATATGTCTGAACAGCTTTAGAACTTCATACGAATGTTTTGCTTGGAATATCCGGAAATTATAGTGTTCCATGAATATGGGTTTTTGCGGGGAATTTGGTTAACGGATTTGGAGGCCAATTGGAGGGAACCCCACATCAATGTAAGCATTGGAGAGCTTGGATCCGAAGAGAACTGAACGGTGGAGCCCATTGATGATGATTTGGGCGTGTGCTTGCTGGGTGTGAGATAGGGTTTTGGAGAATTGGAAGAAAGAAAGAAACGTTTGAATGGAGTTTGAGAAGGTATGGTGGGTATGAATTTCCCTCCACTGGGAAGCATTAACGATTGTTCAAACACAAAGTACCCAATAGTGGGGGTGATGGAATTTCTTTGATTTCGTGGCTAGGTGTTATTTGATGGGCATGAAGTCCATTATGTTCAATGGAGTTGTCCAGTAGCATGCTGATGATTCGTCGACTACCGATTCAAATTTTAGAACTAAATTTAGGAAATCAAAATAATGAAATATTCACAAAATTCAAATCAATTATATGTCTTTGGATCCACCCTTTATCTTAGGAGTGACAATTTTTGACACGATACGATAACTTGATACGAAACACGATACGAATAAATGAGTTTGAATTGACTAATGTTTTGACACGACCCGTCAACACGAAATTTTTATAGGTCGTGTTCGGGTTCAACCCGTTTAACCCGAATTTACCCCAATTAACCCGTATATTTAATCGGGTTGACACGAACTCGCTGACCTGTTTTGATCCGGAATTGACCCACTACTATATAAAGCATTGAATTATTTTTTCTAAACCCTAACTTCATTTTTTCTTTCCCTCTGTCCAGCTGCCTCCCTCCTTCCCTCTGTCCAGTCGCTTCCCTTCCCTTCCCTCATTCTCTTTGTCCAGACTCCAGTCGATCTCTCTTGGCGACCAGCGGACCAGACCAGGTTAGCTCTCCCTCTTTCTCGTTCTTTCTCTTTCTTTGTCTCTTCCTCTTGGCGTTGTTTTTTATCTTGGCGTATATTTTTGACGATCTCTCTTGGTGACCAGCGGAACAGAGCAGTTTGAAAATTGTTAATATGGTGAAACGGAACAGCTTGAAATTGTTATTGCATTTAGTATGGCCTCTAGCTTGAGATAATTACTCATGTACACAGGTTTTGTTATTGGTTACTAATTTGCTATTTCACAAATCTCAAAGCCAGTAAAAAGGCTTGGGTTTGATGGTATCATCAAACCCTTGTTAAGCCATGCCAAACTTTACTCATCTTTTGAGTGACATTTTTGGTATTCTCTTTCCAGGACTCTCGGGATGTCGATGTTGATCTCTAATAGGATAAGGTGAACATGGATACTAAAATTAATTTATGTTCCCATTGAACTCTCCCATAATTTCAATCCATATACACCTTATTTTGTTAGATTTAGTAATTATTGTGGGATTGACTGGTTCATTTTCCTATTGTGGGGTGTGGGATGGTATCACCATTGTATTGAATATATATATTTTTGCACTTGTTTCAATAGTCGTACACTTACCCTGATTGCAATATTCAAGTGGTCTATATTGTTGAAAACAAAATTCTGGGTGATATTTTGTTTTTGTTGTTCATTGGAATTCCGGATTAAGCTTGATCTTTGTTGGAATTTTTAGAAACCCAGATCATGTTCTATAATCATGTTCTATGCTTTTAGAATGCTCATTTTGTTGTGAGTTCCAACCTGATCTATGTCCAGAGCTCATGATTTTGGGCCGAGCATGTCATTACTTTATGTGTTATGTCCAAATCCGTGATTAAGCTTGTTGATGCTTTGTTGGCTTTGGAGGATATTCTTTATGTTATTCATATTCTGACTATCCTCCTTAGTTTTTACGGTGCTACTCGAAAAAGTCCACTCAAGCTTTGATTCTCCAGCAGCTTGCATCTAAAAGTGATAACAGTAAAAGTTTTAAAGCTTTCTGTGTAATGTGTTTGTGTAATGTATGCATCTTGCAGTCGGAATTTATTTTCAAGATTATATGTAACTAAAAGCTTTTTGTTTTAGTCCTAAAATAGATTGTCATGCCCCAAACCAAATCAACTCTAACTTTCTATTCATTACCTGAAACTTTCACTGTGTACACTCTAACTTGATGTGTCGATCACCTGAAGCTTTCTGTTCATTACGTTTATAATTTCTGGAATTTCATTATGTTTCTAATTTTTGGAATCTCATTACGTTTTTAATTTTTCTAATTGTCCAGAAAAATGGAGGATACATCGTGTACTCAACCGACTGTAGATATCAATATTGAGCTTAAGAATACATTCAATTCTGCCCCAGATACAGAAAGTGGAGATAATAAGAATGATGAAAAGCGGCAACGTACTTCCACATCAGAGGTATGGGGGTATTTTAGAAAGTATGTAAATCAAGACAATGTTATAAAGACACAATGCAACAAATGTAAGATTGAGTATAATGTTGCTAGTAAGTATGGAACTGGTAATTTGTGGCATCATTTAGAAACTTGTTTGAAACAACATGATGTGAGTCAGTTAATTTTAAGTTAAAGTTAAGGGTCTATTACTGCACGGTCTTTGAAGGTTAACGAGGAAAATTTTTGAGAGATGTTAATACGTGTAGTAATTAGACATGGTTTGCCCTTTCAGTTCGTTGAGTATGAATGTGTGAGACAAATCTTTAGCTACTTAAATCCAGATGTCAAATTTATTACAAGAAACACGGCTAAGGCTGATATTCTAAAATTGCATGCAAAAGAGATGCGTAAGTTGTCTGTTATATTGCATGACATAACTTGTAGGATTAGTTTGACTTCTGATTTGTGGACATCTATTGCTATCGATGAGCATTTAAGTCTCACAACACATTTCATCAACAAAGATTGGATATTGCAAAAAAGAATTCTGAATTTTTCTTACATGCCTCCTCCACACAGTGGCATTACACTGGCTGACAAGATTTATGGTTTGTTGACAAAATGGGGGATTGAGAAAAAGTTATTTTCAATTACTTTGGATAATGCTTCTGCAAATGATGTCATGGTTGATATGCTTAAGAATCAACTTAATTTGATAGATGCTTTGCTTGGTGATGGTGAGTTTTTTCATATTCGTTGTTGTGCTCATATCCTAAACTTGATTATGCAAGAGGGGTTGAAAGAAATAGATTTAGCTGTGGAAAAAGTCAGAAAGAGTGTCAAGTATGTAAAAGGTTCTCAGGCAAAAAAATAAAAATTCTTAAAGTGTGTTGCACAAACAGCTTTAGATAGCAAAAAAAGTTTGAGGCAAGATGTTCCTACTGGATGGAACTCAACATATTTGATGCTTGCAAGTGCAATTTATTACCGTCGTGCTTTTTGTAATTTGCAACTTGTGGATTCTAATTTTAAGCATTGCCCATGTCAAGAGGAATGGATCAAAGTTGAAAAGATTCAGATGTTTTTAAAAAATTTCTATGATACTACTGTTATTTTTTCTGGCTCCAAGTACCCCACATCAAACTTGTACTTTCAACAAGTTTTCAGTATTCAATTGACTTTGAATAAAGAAATGCAAAGTTTGGATATTTTTATGAGAAGAATGTCTTGTCAAATGTATAGAAAATTTGAGAAGTATTGGTTGGAGTATAGCGTGATATTGCCCATTGTAATTGTGTTTGATCCTCGTTATAAAACTTGACTTTATGGAGTGGTGCTATAAGAAGCTTTGTGGTGAAGGCTCTCTCGAGTATTTTCATGTTCGAGACAAACTTTTTTCTCTATTTGATGAGTATATGAGCAAATCTGTTGTCACCTCTTCTTTTCAATCATCGATTGTTCCTCGTGGTAGTGTAGTTGCTTGTGAGCCAATCTTGAACACACAACCTGTGTTAGATTTGAAGGTATTTAATTTTTTGTTTTATAGTTTTTATTCTATTAGATTAATAATATTGATAGTCTATGATTTGAAAGTATATGATTTTGATAATGTAGGCATTTGTCAGTGAGAGCAATGCATCTGGTCTTAAAACACAAAAAAGTCAATTGTAATTGTATTTGGATGAGCCTAGGTTTGACATAGAAATATAACTTCTTGTTCTTGATTATTGGAGAGCTCATCAGTATCGTTATCCAGAACTTGCTATTATGGCTCGTGATGTGTTAACTATTCCAATTTCTACGGTTGCTTCAGAATCAACTTTTAGTATTGGTGGTCGGGTTCTTGACCAATACCGTAGTGCTTTGAAGCCTCATGTTGTGGAGGCTTTGATGTGCACTAGGGATTGGTTATATGCAGAAAAAAGTAATAAATATAATTTGTGATGACTACGATATTTAATTATTTTTACAAATATTGAATTCTTATTTATATGATTTCCTTATTGTTATTTAGAAAATTCACAAGTGCAATTGGAAGAGTTGGTAGAAGATGTAATGAATCCGACTTTGAACAAAAATGAGGATGCATCGGTGCAATGTTCAAATGTGATTGTGGATCTTGATTGTTGATGTGTGTGAGTCATAAAACCTAACTCTTTTTCTCAATCTTACGCGTTTGTTTTTATTTTTTGTCACAACAACCATTCCATATTTATTGAAGTTAAAAACTTAGTATGTTTTCTTGGCAGGATGTTGGCCAAATTTAGGAGATGAAGAAGATTTGATGAAGAGGATTTCATTCTAACGTGAGAGTTCTGTTGTGAATGTAATGGCCGACTTAGTATGATTTTTGGCAAGATGCTTGTAATATTACTTTGGGATATTTGTAAAAATTTTTGAATATTTGTAATGTTGTGGATGTATTTGTTTTGGGATATTTGTGATTTTTTTAATGCCTTTGTTTTATGTAAAACAGGTCTAATTTTTTTTTTTTGTTATGTCATGTCGGGTTGGGTCGTGTTAGGCGGGTTTGAGTCGTGTTTACCCGAACACGACCCGTGTAAATCTCGTGTCACAGGTCATGTCGGGTTAGTCGTGTTTCGAGGCATGTCGTGTTTGTGTCCAAATTACCTAACTCGTTTAACTCATAGGTCGTGTTTAGGTTGATGTATTTTCAACTCAATCAAAACATGACACAACTCGGACACGACACAACACAACACGATTGTCACACCTACTTTATCTATTGTAAACTTCTTATCATTACATCATTAAATTATGGCGAAGGGGTATGACATCGTTGCGGTATGATTAGGGTTTCTATGGGTGGGGTCGAGTTACGCCCGCAAAACTTTTTTCAGGTCGAGTCTGAATAATATAGGCCCAAGTCCTTACTCAAATGATTTATTTGATGGGCCGGGTCGGGTTTCAGATAGGAGTAGTTACTCACAACCTAACCCGTGAGCCTATTGGGCTGGTTTGCTCGCGGGTTTTTTTATATACAATTTTATTTAAAAATAATAAATATTTTTGTAACTTAATATTTATGTAAATTATATTTTTCAATTAAAAGTAAAGTTAAAATGGATAAAAATAAAATAATGAATAATTTTATTTTTGATTAGCGTATAAACTACATCTAATAAAATGAAGACATCCCAACTAGGTTGACACATACTCACTTATCTATCATTTGCATTATTTTACCCTTTAAAACTTGTATGCTTAATACATGAAAAAGAAAATAATACATTATTTAAAATATCTAAAATTTTAAAATTTCAAATTCCGATATTGAAAGACTTATTTCAAAGTTTCAAATTTAATGGTCTAAAAGTATAATTTTTTTCAAAGAAAGGGTTTGGCGGGCAGACTATTGGGGCATGTTTTAATGGATTTTTTCAGGTGGACTATTGAACTGGGCTACGGGCTAGGTAATGGATTTGAGGACAAACTCAAACTCTCTTTTTAAGGATATTAGGCTCGGGCGGGCTAACTATTGAACCTATTGAATTTTTGGCCTATTTTTTTGGGCTGGGTAATAGGACTTATGGATAACTCGGCCCATGGACACCCCTAGATATGATATCAAAAATTATAATTTTAAGGTTAAATAATAATTTTTTTTAAATGTAAATTATAACTTGTAACGAACATGATCGATCATAGACGATTAGATTCAGTACCTAAAGTTATAATTTTCAAAGTTAAATTATAATTTTTAAAGATTAAGTTACAACACATGAGAGAGAAGTTACAACTATTAAAAGAAAATTCATGATTGACCATAACCTTCCCTTGAACAATTGTATCTTCTCTATTTAAATATTTAATTTTATCATAAAAAAGTTATAAGTTTTGATACAACATACACACACAAAAAAAAAAAAAAAAATTTCGAGACCTTAGACTTTCCCAAAAATTATTTAGGTCCCAAAATATTGTCAGACTAGCATCATTAATTTGTAAACTAGGTGCAGCCTTGCATGAACCATTAAGTATCGAGTTTAGTACTACAATTCATAATTCAAATTAAAAAAAAAAAAATTGAATTGCAATTCATTTGAAAGTTAGAATATAATTGAAGGACAGTTAATGTTTTTTTAACCACTGTAATTAAATATGACAGTTATGTCTCAAGGTAATCAAATTACAAATCAAATGAAAATTGAGATTAATCCCAATAATCTCATTTTACCAAAATTTCAACAAACTAAGTTATAACTTCGCTCTTATTTTATAATACAACAAAATAACTTCGGCTCCCCCACATGAAACCCAATGGTATCCACCATGCAAGTACCTAGTGCAAGGGGGATGGGGGTCTACATGCTATTAGTTGCCCAGATACCTTCTGGTTAGCTCAAAAAGGGAGGGGGGGGGGTGTGATGAAGGCTTGTAAATGTAAACCTTTTTTCCAAGGTTTGTTTCTAGAGGCTAACTTCAAAATTGGACTTTGATGAGCTTGTGTATTTCGTGGACACTAGACTTGATGCTTGCAAAATCTAGACCACACATCAGTATAGTGGCACACACAGCAGTGTTGAATATCTTGGAGCTCCGGAGAAGTGAAATGATTTAGCATGAGGCTTGCTGCAGTTGAGGTGTCTGCATGAAGAGGTACTGTACAGGATGCCGTGGTTAACCATCCATCCAGAAAAAATATGTTCACATACAAACGAAACATGTTTTTGCTTCTCTTGAACTACCTCAAATGATTTGCCAGATCTCTCAAATTCTAGCAAGCTGAGAGCAACTTCACAGCTCTGGGACACAATAGGCTCAGGACCCTTTGCAAACTCCTCAAGAAGTGCTACACACCGGTCATTTGCAAAAATAACAAGACAATGCTTTAAGAGGAAAACCACAACCAGAGGGCTTGAGTATAAAAGGTTATCATAGATGCACAAAAATATGAAAGCAAAAGTATGTTTAAGGTGATGATGGAAGCCTTAAAAGTCCAAATGACAATGAAAGGTTGCCAAGCAAAAAAGATGCTAAAATTAGGTAACAATTTTGTGATATGCATATAGCCTGTACAGGTTCCAGCCACAATTAAATAAGATGACATGCAGATATAAGGAAGCTTCACAGATGCCAGTGTGAAATGCACTGGAAAATTAAATCTTACAGAAACAAAATCTGTACTCAAAAATGGAAACAATTCCATTCATACTGTTGTAGGATGATGATTTCTTATGCCGTCACAGCTTNATCGATTCATTATGCACATTATCTGAATAAATTAAGAGCAAAAGTGATGCGTGAAGAAGCATGTTTTTTTTTTGTTTTACAGTGAAAGCGATGCGAGTGTTACCACCAGCCAGATGAAGTGATTTTTGTCATCAATCCTTGTAATCTCATAGTTTAACTTCACGACTATAAGAAAGACTCCTAAAAAAACTAAACCCCTCCAACAAAACACATCTTAGATGCAGATGGAAAAACCATGTAGCCTCTGCACATAAATATTGCAACCATCTTGGCCATTATCAGATCTGGATACCCAAAAAAAAAATTGACACACATGATGCAGGTATTCTCTAATATTTTAATAGTATGTCAGCGCTAATAAAACTTTAAGCCATGAGAGATTGCTTCAAAAGTACTTCACAATTTATCATAGAATTTGAGATGCTAGAGAAACATTTACAGATTGACAACCCGGGAATTCAAGCGCGTACATTGAATGAGAGTCTCGTGAAGCATCGAGTATTAAAAAAAAAAGAAGTCAAAAACCTTACAACGGACCTCATGTTTCAGGAGAGCACTCTTTGAACCTAAAGATTGGATGACAGCAGTGGCAGCTTCATCTCCCCCTTGGTTTCGAAGTGCAAAAAAAGCTGCATACTGTTCATACATGCCCTTTTCTTCATTCAAAAGAACTTCCCTAAAAACAGGTGAAAATAGTCAACCAGAAAATAAAGCCTTNATAGCAGTGGCAGCTTCATCTCCCCCTTGGTTTCGAAGTGCAAAAAGAGCTGCATACCGTTCATACATGCCCTTTTCTTCATTCAAAAGAACTTCCCTAAAAACAGGTGAAAATAGTCAGCCAGAAAATAAAGCCTATTTAGTAAAGCTTGAGAAATTTTACCTGAACTTATAAACAGACAAACCTGAGTTCATGAACAGAAGAACAAGAAGCAGGTGCAGCTGGATCAACCGACAAAAAGGGTGAAGAACCATCAATTTCTCCAACATTCTTAAGCTCCTGCCTCCTTGATTCGACTGAGAGCCAATTCACATGTTTCTCGCACTTCCTGAGCTGGATCTGAAACCAAAGTGTTCTTTAAAAGAGGAATATTACTCTCCACACCAATTGCACCAGGAGCTTTTGCAGCCTGTGCATTCAGAGGGAGAAAAAAATTAGCAAGAAGCATTAAAGAAAACAACAAAATAGTATGTCTCAAAGCAATAAGAATCTAAGAACAAGAGACCTCATGGTGAACAATGGGATGCAAAGAAAGGTCCTTAAGAACTAATTCTAGAGCAGGGATAGCATCCGCATCTTGCATTTGACCCAATGCAAACACAGCCTCATGTGCCAGTAGATTTGAAGAATCCCTTGTTGCTACAAGAGGTGAATCAACATGCAGTTGCAGGATTGACATAATTTATTCTTGACGAATCTATAACCAATTGCACAACAATAACAGAATCTAATTCAACAAAGTAAATGATCCAGTGACAGTTTTGACACATTGGCTGAGAAAATTACAGCTGCAAGTCAACAAAATGCATGCTTGGCTGAACTGGAACAGCTCAAGAAAGGGTTAGCATTCATGACAGGGATGATATTAGTGTTACCACTATATTAAGTTATATCTAATCTATAAGATTTTCGTTAGTAAATCGGATGGACTGGGAAGGTAATTTTAATTAGAGTAATAATAGATGGACTTAAAAACTAGACTTAAAAATTAGACTTGATAATCTTAACTATTGAATATGTAGTAGTTCCCAATGAATACTGGGACCCACAGTGAAATCAATGGTTGAGATTATTAAGTATACTTTTTAAGTCTATTGTTTAAATCCATATAGCATTGCTCTTTTAATTATTGGAGTCCAAGGTTAAAATGCAAATGATACTAATTTCCCTTACATGTAATGTACACAGATATAATTATGTTCAATAAAGTTTTTGTTTAAATGTTTTAGATGAACATCTCAATATACCAAAATAACTTCTTTATAATTTTTTTTCATTTTTTTGTATTTCCCTCCTCTGCTGATTAGAGATAAACCCTAATCAATACAAGTCTCAACCTTAGGGAAAAGGCTGCATTAACACCAACATGATAGAAGAGACTAAAAAATCAATACATTTGAGTTTGACATACAACAGAAAAATTAAAATACTAAAATATAATTTGCCTAACCAAACAACGTATAATACAACCAATTTGTAAATGATGAGGTCCTTCACCCTCTGGGTTTCGATATAAACATCTTTGGAAGTGTAAGCAGTGGAAGATAAGCAATTTTCATGAAGTAAGTTACTTTTAAGTGTTATTTCGATTTAAACTGCATTCACATCACTGCAACAAGTCACTTAGTCATCAACTAAGGAGAGAGAAAGAGAGAGTCATCAAGAATGAGAGCGTTGCGAGGAGCAGGGCCTCGGAGATTGCGAAGAGAGAATAGGGCTCCAAAACGTTCTGAAATCGGTTGGTTTTGGTCCAACAATCTGTCACATAAGAATTTATCGGTCTCAGGAGAGACTTGGAATGAATTCTCAGAATGAGCCATTTCAATTCGTTGCTATTGACAACTTTTGGTAAACAATATTATTTCATATTGGTATATCTTCTTTACATAGATGGAATCCATATATAATGGAAGAAACTATCTATTCTTGGCTATATAGATTTTACGGCTAGAATAAAGGTTGACCCTTAAATCAGGAAAATTACATTCAGGGCTCATCCTATAATTTCTCCAATGCCAACTCACGCCAACACTCCCCCTCAAGTTGGTGCATAAAGATCTCTTATGCCCAACTTGTCGAGTGAGTTGTAAAAGCTCTTACTGCAAACAGCTTTCGTAAGTATGTCTGCCAATTGGTATTGGGACTTAACAAGAGGAAATCGAATTATCTTTGTCTCAAGATTTTGTTTGATGAAATGTCTATCCACCTCCACATGTTTGGTTCGATCATGTTGAATGGGGTTGTGAGAAATGTCAATAGCGGCCTTATTGTCGCAGAATAGATCCATCTCGCAGCTTGGGACAAAACCAATTTTTATTAATAGTCGTCTAAGCCAGAGAAGCTCATAGAGACCTTTCGCCATCCCACGAAACTCAGCTTAGCACTCGACAGAGCCACCACCTTTTGCTTCTTACTCTTCTAAGTAACCAGGTTCCCACCAACAAACATGAAGTACCTTGAGGTGAACTTTCTGTCCTAGACATTTCCTGCCCAGTCTGTGTCTGTATAGCCTTGAACTCTTAAATGATCATTTATTGAAAACATAAGCCCTTTTCCCGGAGAGAACTTTGGGTATCGAAGAATTTGAATCACTGCATTCATGTGATCTTCACTTGGGCAATGCATGAATTGACTTACCACACTTATAGCTTATGCGATTTCTGGTCGAGTATGTGAGAGATAAATAAGCTTCCCAACCAATTTTTGGTACCTTTCCTTGTTCGTTGGCACTTGGTCTGGGTAATCTCCAAGTTTGTGGTTTTGGACAATTGGTGTGTTAGCCGGTTTACACTCTAGTAGTCCTACCTCTAATAGTAAATCAAGGATATATTTTCATTGAGAAATAAATATACTTGCTTGGATCACGCAACTTCAATTCGCATGAAGTATTTGAGTCCTCCTATGTTCTTTATTTCGAATTATATTGACAATTGCTCTTGGAGTCTAGAGATTTTATCTACATCATCCCCTGTTATAATCATGTCGTCTACATAGACTATTAGAGTTATCATTTTTCCCAAACAATGTTTTAGGAATAGAGTATGATCAGAATTACTCTGTTGAGAACCATAGTTTTTCATAGCTAAACTGAATAAACCAAACCATGTACAAGGTGATTGTTTCAAATAGGGGTGCAACTCGGGTGGGTTGGACGGTCAATCCTAAGTATATAATCTTCAACCCTAACCCTAACCTTACCTCGGGTTGAGGGACTCAACCCGAGCATTGCCCGAGTTTAATTCAGGTGGGCTCAGGTTGAATTCGGGTTAATGATTTTGGAGCTATTTTACGGGTTCAATTTGGGTTGAATCCAAAATAGACTTGTTCTTCTAAATCTGATACATATATTACATAATATTCACCTAAATTAACAACCAACAACTTTAATCAAGATTTGAACATAAAAACCATAATATTAAGAACTCAATATTTGAGATAATGCAACCACAATCATACAGAACACAAATTAACACAACCAAAATTCTTGTACAAACATAAAGTTTACTGCTTAAATAGTGAGTGAGGGAGGCGCACAATGAAGACTTTAGAACAGATTAACCCTAGACTTAAAAATGTATTTATATGGTTATGAATATTCGGGTTGAACCCGATTTTAATATTCGGGTTCAACCTGGTAACCCAAGGGGGTTAGCCCGAGGCCCACCCAAATTGAATTCGGGTTTGAGTTTTTTGACCCAAGCCCAATCCAAGTATTAAAAATTCTAACCCAAGCCCTAATTTTTTCGGGTTGAAATTGGGTCAACCCACCCAAGTTGCACCCCTAGTTTCAAACCATACGATGCTCATTGCAGCTTGCAAACAATCTTCCCCACTAAAATATGCAGTGTATCCTGGTGGAATATCCATGTAGACCTCCTTTTCAAGATTGCCATGGAGGAAAGCGTTCTTCACATCAAGTTAGTGAAGCGGCCAATCTAAATTTGCATTAAGGGACAACAGAACTCTAAAAGTATTTAGTTTGGCTACTGGTGAGAAATTTTCTTGGTAGTCTACGCCATAGGTCTGTGTATATCCTTTTGCCACAAGCCTCGCCTTGTACCGATCGATGGATCCATCTGCCTTGTATTTAATGGAGAAGACCCACTTGCACCCCACTATCTTCTTTCCTTCAGGTAGAGAGACTAGCATCCATGTGTCATTTTTGTGCAAAACCTCTAGTTCTTCTTTTAAAGCTTGAGCCCATTTTGGATCTAATAAAGCTTCTTCTACGCTATTGGGGATATGAACTAAGGATAACGTATTTGCAAATGCCCTGAGAGGTTAGGATAGCTTTTGAGTAGACACATAGTTGGCAATTGGGTGGTTGGATACTTTTTCTTCAATGTCCAGAGAATACCGACTTGGTGGCTTACTGCGATTTTGTCTGAAAGGTAAAACATAGCCCACAGGTGTATCTAAGGCGTTAGTATGTGAAGGTATGGCAGGAGAACTTACCTTATGGATATTCTCAAGAGAAGGGTCTTCAGTTACTGAAGAGTGAGGAAAATATTCATTCCTAGGTGGTTCGCTCTCAGGTTCCAACGATATCATTCACCTCCATAGGAAAGCTCAACATTTGGTTCTTTACTTTTCCATCATTTAGTTGTGCTAGGTTATCCTAAGCTCCTGGGTTATCTTCAACACTTAACCAATTCTGCTCTTTATCTCTGAGCTCCCTCTGAAGAGGAGAATTGGATGCTGGTGATGGAAAGAAGGTGTTGGAATCGAGAAACGTAACATCCATAGTGATGTAGGTACGTTTGGTGATGGGATCGTAGCAACTATAACCCTTCTTGTGCAAGGCATACCCCAAAAAAAGACAACGCACTGCGCACAAATCCATCATAGTGTATTGATTTTTGTGAAGATGGACAAAGGCAACACATCCAAAGATCCAGGGAGGAATCATCAAGACCGTAGGTAAGGAGACATAAGTCGACAGAGCTTGGAGTGGGGTCTTAAACCTTAAGACTTTGGATGGCATCCTATTGAGGAGACACATAACCGTAGTGATATCATCAGCCGAATGTTGGCTAGGTACATGAGCTCCAAGTAACACAACCCGAGCAGTTTCGAGGATATGTCAATTTTTTCTCTCAACAACCCCATTTTGCTGAGGGGTCTGTGAGCAAGAGGTCTCATGAATAAGTCCATGATGTTAGACATAATCGTGGAACCGTTGTTTCCCATATTCACCGCCATTATTTGATCTGAGAATCTAAATCTTAGTGGGGACTTGAGTCTGAACCATGACACAAAAGGATTGAAACACATTTAGTGCCTCATCTTTATGTTTCAACAAGTAAAGCCAAGTCATCCGAGTATAATCGTCTACAAATATCACAAACCAGCGAATACTAGACAGAGTAGATACTAAGGACGAACCCCACACATTTGAGTGAATTAAAGCAAAGGAAACATCACTTTTATTCATACTCAAAGGATAGGGGACTCTATGTCTCTTAGCTAAAATGAAAGTATTACAGTTAAAGTCAAAAATTGACTTATGCGAAAACAAATTAGTAAACAAATGTTTCATATAACCAAATGAAGGATGCCCTAGCTGACGATACCAAAGCCAAATCTGTCTTGTTTTAGTGTCACTTGAATGATGCATGTGATGTGCTCGGCCCTTACTGAAATCATCAATGTAATATAGTCCCCCCCTCTTAGTACCAC